AAAGCAAACCTTAAAACTTGGGCAAAAGGGGACAAAATAGGATCTGAAATCTTATGTCACTACACATGTAAACTTCTAAAAAAAAGGTGTGATTCAGCCACTGGCATACCTGATGTAAAGGATTAGCAATTTCCTCCCCCCCCAACTCTTATGGCTTAAAGATCACAAAATGCTACTTCCATACAAGGCTGAGAAAAAGTTTGTGTTCAAAAAGTGTAACAGAGTGTCAAAACATTGCAAGGCAGTTAGTTTCTGGAACATTATGAACATTAATCTTCTGTTTTTATAAACAAATGTATGCTAACAATCTCCAAGCTGGAAGCAGTATATTTTTCAGATGCCCTCTTTTTAATGAAACAAAAAAGCTACTGGAACTGTTGTTAACTTGCTAGTCAGTCCGCTATTTCTGCTAAGGATTTGTGCATTCATCCCTTTAAATAGTCATAAAAAGATATGATAGGAAGTTGCATTTGCAGGTAAAATAAAATACAACTTAATTGTATTTAATTATAAAATCACAGTCAGTTCTAATACAATATAGGCTTTATCATATTCTCACAATTCCATCATCACAGGAACAAGATGAAAGAACAGGCACTATGACATCTTCTTTAGCATGCTTTTTACCTTTAATTCTGCTAATTTGAGTATGAGTCGATCAACCTCACAAGGTATGCACAACTCTGCAATAAATGTGGAATATTGTATTCCATAGGCTTAAAATTCCTTTTGCATCCACATTACATTATCTTAGCTTAACTTTGTACAAACACATTCAAAATCAAAATCCTCAAGTATCTTAGCACTTGGGTTTTTTTATTTAGTCAAAATCCATTCCAATCCAGCATAATAGCATCACAAGGTTTATTACCTTGCTGTCTAATTAGTGGAAGAAACTCACAAACACCATCCATGTCAAAAATAAAACATTCTTTGTACCCACGCTGGACATCATAGTAACTCGTTCTCTAGGACTTTTTCTTTTAAACCTGAATTCCTTAATACGAACAAATAAGCCAAAACAAAAAAAAATCCACAGAAAATTATTAAAACTAAAATATTTACATGAGGACAATGATCTGCCAAAAATCCAGCCTCCACAGAAAAAAAACTGGAAAAAAAAGCACACGAATAAGCAGGTCACGATTTTCTGAGAACAAGAGTTTAACCACTGCCTTGCTTCTTTACTGTGTACGTTTAGCTGGTTAGAATATTTCTCAAAAAAAATTCAAGAAATCTGACTCAGTTCTACTGACAGTCTATTTTATTATTGATAAGTGTGGACACAATACAGAGGACGTTAAATAAGCGGGAAAATCATATGTAGAATATAATGTCAAGTGTACTATATAAACTACATATAGTATATAGTACATATATAAAGATGCCCACAGAGCATCATCTATTATAAAGATAGCTTTCCTACACAAAATTAACATGTGTTACTCATTTACTGTAAAATCAAGTACTCAGAGATTGAGTATGGAAATCAAGCACGACGTTCTTTTGCTACTTCTTGAGTACATGAAGTTAAATTACACATACCTATTTCCCCCACAGATTTTACACGTGGAAAAACGCTGATATGAATTAGCTACGACATAAAAAAAAAAAAAGCCATCCTCAACAGAAAAACACTTGTCTTTTACAAGAACCAGTTATGAGATTCTTCGTTTGCAACATATGTCTCAAAAATTGAAGTATTTTTCTAAGAAAAAGCCTCCTACATTTACATGCACGAAGTAGTATAGCTGACACTGGACTGCTTTTTGCCTCTTCATGAATTTTACAGATTTTGAATGCAAATAAAACTATGTTCATTTTTTTTCTAAATTTGTCCATAGTCTGTGTCTTATGCAGTTACTGTTACTACCTACATCTAGACAGTGAAACCATTTTTCTTCATTTTTGGGCCAGCCTCATTATTTCATTGACCACCAAACAGCATATTTGTTGATTTAGAGAGAGCATTTTATCATACCCAATTGCTGTATTTCATCTGACAGTAAGCCAATAGTAACAAATGAATTTCCCAAGTTAGTCATAATACTCTAAGGGATTTCTTTTGTTTGAACAGTTAATCCCTACAAGAACACAAATTAAAAAACAAAGTGGACACTGTTTTACTAATCATTTTGGCATGCCTGTTATCACATTTATCTTTCTTCACCCATCATGTTGTTTTCTGGTCAGCAAATGTACAGTTTTCTCTTTTAAATATGAAATTTAGCTTTAAACACGGAGCATTTCAGACATCGTTCTTATATAGGTCAGTAGTAGTTTATAATAAATACATGAGCAAGATGAGCTCATGTTAAGCTTTTAATTCCAGTATGATTACCTTACATTTCTGAAATGGAGTGACTATAAAGATGAGGCACACTTACACAACATTTTAACACTACTACTTCCAAAATCAATTTCTTTAAAAATACAATATTGCCTTTAAAATGCCCTTCCTAACTATTGCCTTTCACAACCAATGAAAGAATAAAAGGCCAAAGAGGAGACACAAGCAAACACATTAACAGATCAAAGAATCACCGTGAGATGTTTCTGCACTACCCCACAGATCAAAATTCATGGCGCGAGAACAGCAAAGTTTGCCACAGAACCACAGCTTGTTTTCCCCACTGCTGCTCCCCTTCTCCCACTAAGACTTGGGATTTCACTTGGCGGGAGGGGCTGCTAGGGCTCGGTGACACTTACGTGCTCCAAAAGGATCGAGTTTTTTCCAAAGTATTTTGAGTTTTAACTGCTTATACAGCAGCCAAAGGGCTTTCAATCTCCACTTCTCCAGTTCTTCTAATTACTTTTCTTGTAATTACCCCTAATTATGGCACTGGAAGCATACAAACCATGCAGTTTCTTTCAGTAGAACAAAGCCACCGCATACTTTCTTGAAAAGCTTGCAAAACTAAAATTATCTCCTTACTAAAGAGAATCCTGCAATGATCCCCATCAAATTTCACCCACAGACTCCAGTCAGACTCCAAGATCATCCCCATACCATCCTTCAGGTTCAAGTCAAGTCAAAACTAGGTTTTGACCCTTTCCAAACACATCTGAAGAAACAAGGGAAAGAAACAGCTTCCTGGTTCAGGTGCAGGAGCAAGCACTCCCGAGGAACGCAGTTGAGTAGGATTTCTTCATAGAATATGGATTTAAAAAAAAAATAAATCAAATTAATCTGAACAATCCCCACCCATCCCCCAAAATGAAAAGAAACATATTGAGTTTGATACTTGAGTTGGAGATTTTTAGGATAAATTCCTTAGATCTATAATGGCATTTCAGGAGAGAAAAATTGCAACATTTACTCTGAACATGCTCATAAGCACTCATCTGTGGAGTGTGAGAGGCACTTTCTGTTTGGTGGTCTGCCAAGTTTGATGTAAGGACAGAAAGCTGTTCCGCATCCCAAATTAATGCCCCAGAGACCAGCGTATACAGCTGGTCTGTCTCTAGGTCAGTGGAAATTTAATTATCTGTACAAAAGCTAGAAAAGAAAAAAAGAAAAAAAGGAAAAAAAAAGAAAAAAGAAAAAATAACTATGGGGACAAAAAAGGGAAAAAAAAGACCTTTTTACTCTTCCTTTTTCAAACTGTGAGGAAGATCATCTTCCCTGTTCTTCCCTCTATTATTTTACACTGCAATGACAGGGAAAAGAGGGGAGTTACTGACAAATCTGTTGTATTACTTTAAGAAAAATGGTATCAACAACAGAAGTAGCTTTCAGATACATAACTGAGCAAAAAACCAAATTTTTTTTCCACAGCCGCGAATGCCAACCACTGTTTCAAGTAGCTGGTGTAAAGGACTGTAATTTCATTTCAATTTAGGTAGCAGAGACATTTCTGTTTTACACTGCAATGCAAGGATTAAATGTATCTGAAAAATTTGTGCTTCTTTCAAGTGTTGTAACTAGTTGACAGTGCTTCAGAACAGAGAAAATTTCTCTCCTTACAGTGAGTATGTAGGTCACAACTTACATGCTGGAGGAGAAGCAAGTTAAGTTCAAAGTATTTTTAATTGCTATATTCATCAGATTACCATACTTAAAAAATAAATACTAGTTATAAAGGAACAGTAAATCTGTGATATGAATATCAGAAAGTAAGGAGATAGACATACAAATGTTGTTTGATATTTAGAATATGCCTACGCTATACAGGAGTATATTAAGAGATACCAGCTATTTCTGAGCTGTATTAACTGAGGTACCAAGAGCAGACTGGTTTTGCTGGCTGTTAGCAAAAAGCAGCAGGATTTGTCAGCTTAGGAAGAACACTACATTAACGCACCTGTAATGACTGTGAAATTCAGCCCTGGTCAGAGTCATGGATCACACAGACGCAGCTGTGTACGTATCTTTCTACTGATCAAAATCCATCTAAATACCAGCTGAGCCAGTGTTCCTCTTGGATAGGTGGCTCTGAAGGCCTACACCTAACCAATAAACACCAGGTGGACGGATCTGGGTGAAATTAAGTATGAATCTTGCCTTTGGGAAAGGCTGCAGAACTTGTGGTCTTATTTTAAAATGAACTTTCCTTTTTGGAATGTTAAATATAGTAATTGTAGTAAACCCCAAAATTTTTAAACTTACCTTAAACCACTGAAAACCTCCAGTCTCTCCCATACTTTCAAGAGCTGAACAATACTTGCTTTGTCAAACTATGTCAGCAGACTGGACTTGCTGCTCCTAAGTACAGCAGTGCTAAAATGGTGGTGCTTACCACGACATACCAGTAAAGAAGCTATGAAAACTGGAAGCTCTTTCTAAAAAACTGTTTTGAAATACTTCAATTGTCTAATTAAAAAAAATAATAATAAATGTCTTCACTAAGTAGATTTGATAGTTTTTTTCCCTTACAGAGTCTGGAAAAGGACTTCTGTAGGAATCTAAAAGCACAAAAAACTTGCTGAGCAACTTGCAGTCCATGACACAAAAGGCAGTAACAGAAACACAGATGCATACAGGCACAGAGCTGCAATACCTTCATATTAGATGCCTCAGTTTCCAGTTTTGTTAGGTGATTTGAGTTATCCTCTAGCTCTTGCCGAAGGTTGGAGTTCTCCATCTTTAATGCCTCAACTTGCTTTAACAACTGATCATAGGAAGCTGCAGCCATCCTGGGCTACCCTCAGCCCTAAAAAAAGTAAGAGAAAATATTAAACATAAACATTTTAGAAAAAAACCCCAAATTTATCTAACCACAAAATTATTTCTCTCTCTTCCCCATTTACCACTCATCTAAACATTTAATTTAAATCCACTAACCCAAACTATTAATGCCTGGAAATAACGCCAGTGCGAAGACTTTTTTTCAGAGGGCTTCCATTTGATACACATGATTAAGCAAATGAAAAAAGTTCATTAGCAACTGTATTAGGTATTAAGGGAAGCCAGAATACACGGAAGAAAATCATGGCATCATACGAAAGCATCCTTACTGTTCACATTTTAGTTCTAACACTGAGAAACTATGCAGATAATAGACCATATTTAATCATTTTTGGATACACAACAAGCACTGCCAACCACATCTCAAAGATGCTGACTGCCTACTTATTTTATGAAATGAAAGACAGTCACAGATGGTCAAAATTCCTACGAATAGCACACAGTACAGGAGACATTGTATGAAAGGCGAACAGTAAACATTGAGGAATTTTAAAAGAAAAAAAAAAGCGTCAAATGTAGTAGTAATCAAGTCTCTTGTAAAAATACCCTCCAAGGTGTTAAGATTAAAACAGATAGATGTACAAAATTCCAACATAAGAAGTGGTCATATTGCACAGTAGAATAAAAAGATGAAAAAAGGCTATTCCTGGTATCAGGATATCCCATGCTATTTTGGGTAATATTAACACAGTCCTGCCACACCATGACAATTATTCAGCCATTACAAAGGAGAAAGAAACAAATACTCCAATTTAAATTATAAAATTCAAATTGTTTCCCACTTTCCAAACCAAAAGCCATCAAAGTTGTTCATCTAACAATACAAGTTAACTAAAACATGGCTAACCATGTTTGAAGCTCTTTACAGTTGAAGCTATCAATTTCTTATTCATCAGCCATTCAAGAGAGTAAAAGGAAGCCTAGTTCTTCATATGCACACAAGTTACCCTTCCAATGTCATTGCAAGAATTTCCTAAGTATGCAGCCTGCATCTCAAAGTTAAAAAATGTAAAAGGCTTATGGGACTACATTCCTTTTCATTGTAACTGCAGTACTTTCGAAAAGATGAAACAATTAAAAGCTGGTATTTAGCATTTTCTGTGTATCTTCTCACTAAGCCTCTGACCTTACTGCTTCTATAACTCCTTATGTAATCAACTTTGCTCTCCCAGACAAGTCTTAATTGAATTATCCAGCCTACTAAAAAAAATGGGTAAATTATTCAAAAAGGTTTTAATTCCCCAGTACAAATTTTCAAAATTGTGTTTAATCTTTCTAAATTTAAACTCAACAAAACGTCAAGAACATATACCATTGAAGACAGGAAAAATAACAAAAGCTGTAGTGCATTTGATATGACTAGTTTATTTCCTTTTCAAGAAGCAAGTCTTCATGCCCTAAGCACCTCTCATCATCAAAGACAGGAGAAGGAAGAAGCCTGCCACTTATGGAATTGTGATTTCCAAGACACTGCCCATAAGCCGAACAAAAAAAAAATCCCTAACAAATTTCTTTTTCAAAGTTTGGTCATGCTTTACTGGAGACCTCGTTTTTAGATAAATGAGGCAATCCAAAACGTCTACTCTATTCTGTGAATTCTGTGGTTTTTATCATTAGGCTGTTTCACCTAAGAGGTGGAGAGCTACAAAGAAAGTTGTAACAAAAAAAAATATATATACAACCACCGCCGACAAAAAAAAATAAATCAAAAAGGGCAGACTGCTTCTGTTCCATTTCATATATGTTTTTATTTACTAAATAAGAGTTTCCATTCTTAGTAATAAAACCAATAGTTGTAGTTCACATTTCTTTGCAGACATACACTGCATGGACAGTCCTCTGTAGAGCATACACTGGATGGACAATTCTGCACAAGCCCAAGGAAAGGTAGATAGAAGTGGAAACATTTTCACATCAGCTGTCATAAATTAATATTGTATCGTAATTTTGATAGAATCTGTTGGTTTCAATTCAAGTATATCACACATTTATTAACACACATCTAATTCACAGAAGCTGCTGTGTGCTATGTATTTCACGTGCATTTTGATTCTAGCTAGAGTATCTTTTTCTCCCGTTATTTTAATTCACGATCAGTATGAAAGGACAGGTTATGATAAAAAATACCAAGTTTTTCCATTTTCTGCCCAGGAACTCTGACTCACTAATTTGGAGGTTAAAACAATTAGCCGCATTAACAAGACACGTACAAACAATGAAGAAAATGAAGAAAACTGAATGAGGGGAGGAGCTACATAAAGACAGCATCTGCATAGCTCTCACATTTTAAATGCAAAATAAGCTTAAATATACTTCTGTTAAATAAGTAAGGATCCTGTTTCTGAAGGGGAGGTTTTGTTTGTTTTCTCCCTGTCCTGATCCAAGTTCATAAGCTTTCATTTGTGTATTTTATTTTCATAACATGGAGGTAGGACATCACCACTATGAGACATCATTCTGCCTCAGATTAGGAGTCACTTCCTTATTTATTCAAATGTCAAACTTTACTCTCTGGGTTTTCAGATAAAAAAACCCGAGTCAGCTGATTACCACAAGCTGGGTAATCCAAAACGTCCTTATTTTTTTTGTTAAACAGATGCCCAAATGGGCAGTAAGCGACGCTGCCATGGCCAGAAACTCACTCCTGCCAGTTTGGCATCCAGCAGAAGCCGCGCTGCCTGACTGCAGCCCCGCTGGCTGCTGGGGCGAGGGCATCGACATCGGCACCTCAGGATACGGCACGAATTCTAAAGAGAACCTCCTAAGAGAGGGTTAGAGGGGAAAAAAGCACGTACATCGTATCTTTTGGGAGCGTGATGTTTGGGCAATGTGTGTTTGCAGTCAGTACATCCACACTGAAAACTGAACTGCAGGCAGCCGGCCTCTCGTTAGCAATACGCCGTGAGCCACCTAGGCATCTGCTTCTAGCAATGACTGCCACCCCACCGGCTGAGGCATCTGGACTTCTTGGGGGCACCCAGGTGTACACCTACCTCCCTGGCCCTCCAAGATAATTCTCCTTTTTCCCACCTGTGAAGGAAGAACTACCATGTATTTGAGGAGAACAGTAAACTACTTTTTAGAAATAATGGATCTCACCTACCCCAACTGCACCACGGCGTTTGATACAGGGCCACATGTAAAACCAGACACAGTTATAGCAGGGATGAGCAGAAAAACTGTACATGGGGTAAGGAGGAGCTCAAAGACAAGATGACACTGGGCAGCGCGGAAAGCCAAATTGCTGGGCTGGAGGCAGGCTGTTAGCAAACTTCCCACAAAATTAGTCTGCGACAAGTATTTTTAAATGTTTCATTATTGGACTTGGCAGAAGAAGTGGCATCAAAACTTGCTCCCATAAATTCAAGAGGCTTCACAAGGTCAGAGGACTACGTGTAATACACAAAGAATTCGATGAACTGAGAAATGAAGCAGTAGAAACAGGGTGGGATTAAATGGCCTGACAAGGTCGGAATCTCGACACCTGGAAGCCGTGAGTGGGGAGAAGCAACTCGAGTCCCTCGGCAGCCAGCCTGCAGGGCACCCGGGCAGTGCCAACACCAGACCGGCACAGGGAAACCAAACATGATCCCCAGAGTTACCAAGTCGTTTTCCAAAGACACAGGTAAGAGGAATAATTTAAGCAGGTGCAGAGGAAGATGCTAAGTGATCACAGGAGTAGGGGGTCCCTCATATGAGAAGAGACTTGACGAGCAAGCCTTTGCCACCTCAGCACACCAAAGGCTGGAACAACACAGCTACATTTTGTAATTAGGGAGGGGGAAAACTCTCAAGAGGGAGAAAATATTTGTGTTAAAACACAATAATGACACAAAAAAAACGGGTATAAATCGGTTGCTTATCAACGCAGGCTGGTAACATCCATTAGAAGTTGTGAATTCAGCAACATCCTTGCCTAGCTCACCGCACAAGAAGGAACTGGACTTAGCGGTCCAGAAATCCAATCTTACATTCCTAAACTTCAATTCAGAGAAATACTGTACTTGTTTTTGTAACTCCAAGCTACTTGTATGTTTTTCTCCTGAAACAATGAAATGCCAAAGCCGTTTCACAAAAGACACCATTATTTAACTTTAAAATGGGGGAAACGGACACAGGTAATGCATGACCACAAAGCAGCTTAGGCTTTCTGATGCTGAACACTGCGACACCTCTCAGGCACTTAGGTTTGTAGAGTGAAATCATAGGGCTCCACTGCACACAAGCCATTCCATGTATATTAAGCTAACACCCTCAAAATTAAAATCTGCCTCTCTTCTGGAAATAGTTTTTACCAATAGCATAAAACTAGACACATCAGGTCGGAGTTCAGGTCCCAAAATTAATCTTTGGATCTATGCTCTGAATTATCTGAGTACAAAAAAACCCCCAACTTCACTTTTGAACACAGAACTGGTAGCATCAATAGAAATTGACTGCATTGCTACATTCCCTTCTTGCAATTTCTCAACGGTCAAACCACTTGCCTTGGGAAAAGAGTCAAATTCTGGACCCTCTCATTCAGACAAGGGTCTACAGCTGTGCATCATCTCATTCACAACAGAAGTAACCAATAACCAGTCCAAAGGAAAGCAAGGAATAGTTTACATGGGGCCCGCTAGTTTCAAGCTCTACCATTGCACATACACAAACAAACGTGTTCAAGATTATTTGGGCCTGAATGAATCAAAAATAAATTACCCTTCCCCCCTTAGGAAACCACTACAGTGGGGAGTGCAGGGGAAGGGAAGAGGAAGAACTCGGGGCTCTGATACCCATTTCACATTCTACTCAGCCCAAGGGAACATGCATGACACATGCAACACCACCCACCTTTGCAAAGTTCACTATTATGCTTCGGTCAAGCTCCCTTCTGCACTCTAAACCGTGCTGCTTCTTTGCAGAGTGGTCATCGTGCAAAGGGAGGAATGGCAATACCCCCTTCTCTAGATTTATACCAAGAA